TCTATCTATCTATCTATCTATCTATCTATCTATCAATCAATCATCTATCATCTGTCTATCATCTCTGTATCTCCAGGGCATTTATTTATTTATTTATTTGTGACCGGAATTGAATTCAGGACCTTGCGCTTGCCAGGCAGGCACTTATGTCACTGAGCTGTATCCCCAGCCCCTCCAGGGCATTTATACTGAGTAATATCCTTAGCCCTTTTTTTATTTTTTATTTTGAGACAGGCTGTCACTAAAGTTGCTGAGTTGCCCAGACTGGGTTGCAATTCTCCTGTTTCAGTCTCCCAGAGTGTTGGGATTACAAGTGTATATTAAGGGTACATTGTAGATAATTTCTTTTATTTTTCATTTATTTTAAAATTTTTTATGAATTCTTTTTACAGACTTAAAATTTTTTTGAATTAATTTGACAATCTAGGGGCTGGGGATTTAGCTCAATGGCACAGCATCTGCCTGACAAGTGCAAGGTCATGAGTTTGATTCCCGGTACCAGAAGAAAAACAAAAAACAAAAAACAAACAAACAAAAAAATTTAACAATCTAAGCCAGGTGTGGTGGTGCATGTCTGTAATCCCAGCACTTGGAAGACTGAGGCAGGAGGGTCTCTGTGAGTTCAAAGCCAGCCTAAGGTACCTGATGAGTTCAGGGTCAATCTGAACTACATAGTGAGCCAATCTGAACTGTATGTTTTGTCTCTAATAAAACAAAACAAAACAAACATAAATCTAACAATATATTCTATATGGAATAAGGGTTTAGAAAATTTATTTTAAAAAAGAAAATTACATGTTTACTGAATGAGAAAACTATTCAAGGTGAACAAGCTCATTCTTTGTTTTTTAAAATAACACAACACAACATTAACAAATATTAAGTTTGAGCTCCATAAGATTTTTCTTTCTTTTATCTTATACTGTATTTTTAACCTGTGTATTTTGTGTTTTGAACATTTATTACTTTTTATTTTAAAGCTATTAAGCATCTTTAATATCTTACCATGTAGCAATAAACCTGTTTCTCTTTATGGTCTCTTATGTAGATCATGCTAGGATTACTGTGTGTGTGTGTGTGTGAATACTCTGACATTTACTTAGTTTCCATATTTCAAATGGGAAATTAACATTTATCTACAGTGGATGGAGGGATGTGTGTGGATGAACAGATAAATGAATATAGAGTTGATATTTTAGAGCTTTTTGTTTGTTTGTTTTTTTCTTCCGGTACTGGGAATTGAACTCACTACCTTGTGCTTGTGAGGCAGGTGCTGTGCCACTGAGCTAAATCCCCAGCCCCTAGAGTTGATATTTTAATGATAGATGTAATTGCAAGTGCTAACTATAGAGGGATGTAGAGAGATTGAGGTAGATGGATGGATGGAAGAACAGATGCATAAATAGATGAGTAGAAAGAAAAGAAGCTAGAAAATAAATATCTGATGCTTATATAGATAGGTCCATTGTACCATAGCAATGGTAGCAAAAGCATCAGATCTACCTACTGTCTAGTGAAAAAAAAAACAACTAATCTTCTTTCCAAGGAACTCAAGATTTTTTCTAAAAAATTTACTCCAGAGAAAAAATTTTCAATTTCTCTTCTACTCCTTTCAGTAACCCATGCTTTAGTTCAGTTAACTCCATCATATTATTGTAATTGGATTAGGGGAAACGACAGGAGATTGCTTTTTTTAATAGGTCAAAGAGAGTTAAATATTGGTATTTGCCTATGATTTAACTCAATATCTGGAGTTGTGAAAGAGATGGTGGATAAAATGGGCGAGTGGATGAAACAGTATAAAGACGACTGCTTAGAAAACTAGATGGGTAAATGAAAGAGACCGATGGATGAACCATGATGAGATACCACTTCATACTTGCTCGGATGACAATAATATCTGTCAGTAATAAAGCAGAAAATAACAAGTGCTGATGCAGATGTGGAGAAATTGGAATCCTTGTGCACAGCTGATGTGAGTGTAAAATGATACAGCTGCTGAGGAGAACAGTTTGTCATTTCCTCCAAAAGCTGAACACAGAATCACCACATGACCCAGCAATTCTGCTCTTGGTTCACACTCCCAAAGAGTTGAAAGCAGGAACTCAGACCTTGTCTGCCAGTGTTCACTTCAGCATTATTCACAGTAGTCAAAGGTGAAAACAACCCCAGTGTCCATCAACAGGTGAATGGGTAAATAAAATTTACTACGTACTGGTCTTAGTTACTTTTCTCTTTGCTAAGACAAAATATATGAGGCCCAAAGTTAAAGGATACAAGGATTATTGCAGCATGGCTTGTAGAAGTTTCAGTTCATAATTGGCTGTTGGCTCCAACAGAGGCTGGCATGGCAGAAGGGCATCACGAAAGAAAAACATCATAGTGGGCAGCAGGCAGCAAAACAGAGAGGCAAAGAAGCAGAAGCCATAACAGTAGCAGCAGCCTGCTTCTCCTTTTTATCCGTTCCAGACTACTTGCTTTTTGGGTTGTGTCCCCCACATCCTTGGAGGGCCTTCCCATGATCCACATGCAGAACTATGCCAAACCAATCACTAATTTAATAATCACACACCCTTAATCCCAGCATAAGACACATAATCTCAGCACCACACACTTCATCCCAGCATCACATGCCCTAGCTCCAGCCACATGTGGGAAGCCCTGTTTGTGACTGCATGAGACTTTGGAGGGACATGTAGGCACAAGGCATAACAGTACACATGATAGAATGACATTCATTCATTAAAAAGAATATTACTGATCTGTACTACAGAGCGGATGGACCTTGAAAACATTATGCTGAGGGAAGCAAGCCGGATACATAAGAACAAATATTGTATGATTCCACTTACATGAACTCTCTAGAAGGGGCAAATTCATAGAGATAGAAAGTATCTAGAAGGTTTTCAGGGTTGAGGGAGAGGGCAGTGGGGAGTTACTGTTTAATGGAGTTGTTGTTACAGTATTTCTGGTTGAGGACAAAGCTTTTTGGAAACGATGGTTGCACAACACTGGCTATAATCAGCGTCACTGAATTATATAATTAAAAATGGCTAAGATGACAAATTTTAAATTATATATATATTTTCCACAATAAAAAAGTTTTTTAAAGTTGATGAGTAGACATGAGTACATAGAAAAGAGTTTGTGGGAGTTGACTTGTGGCTTCACTTGGGATAGAAACTGAGGATGTGAGAGTGACCCTGTCTTGTAAAAAAAAAAAAAAAAACAGAAACAAAAGCTAGATAACCTTAGGCTGGCAGTGATTGAGAAGCCCCTCAGCCAAAGAACCTCTCTGTCTCAGGCTCTCTGCAGCTGGATCTCAACCGCATGCCTAAGCCGGCTAAGACCGCTGAGAAGTGTTCCTTGGACCAGCTAGATGACACTTTCCACCCCGAATGGTTCGTGTCCCTTTTTGAACAGAAGACAGTGAAGGGCTGGTGGCCCTGTGTAGCAGAAGAGGCCGAGAAGCAGATCCTGGCGGTGAGTGCTTCCGCCAGCCCCTGAGGACGGCACAGGAGGCTCCTTCCTTGGAGACCAGCTGGCGCACACACACGGTCTTCCTCCCTTTTCTTCTGCTCTCTACTTTCTCAAGTCTTACTTCTCTTCCCTTGTGATTGACTCCCGACCTTCCTCTCCTTGTGAGCCTCTCCCTGGCTCACATCTCAGAGGAAGCCTGTTTGAATTGAAAGATGACTGGCTTAGATTCCACTTACTGGCCTTAACAGTGATCTGGGCCCTGGGTTCCCTGGGATCTGGGCTTCCTCATAGATGGATGGGGGTCATGCGCTTCCCATTTGAGCAAGAGCCTCCCAGGGAACATCTTTGCTCTATTGTCGTTGCGGAGAAGTCACCGGTGGTGGTGGTGGTGGTGGGATTAGTGGCCGGAGGACCCAGGAGAACCATCCTTTCCACCCTCTACCCATCAAGTCCAGACAAGAAGCAAGGAGGAAGCTCATCTCTGACAGTTTACTTAGAAGCAGCAGGCAGCCAGCCAACTCTAAAGTGGCCCTTGAAATAAAATATCTTTGTTATACAAAGAATTGCAATGATTAATGAGGAATACTCACACCCTAGAGGAAAAATGAGCAAGGGGTATACATAGATAGTTCACAGGAGAAGCAAAATATTCATTAAACATGAAAAAAGAGGCTTATTCCTTTGAGTAATTAAAGGAATATTTTTAAATGTGGAGTTTTTTTTGGTGTATTAAATAAGATTTTTACAAAGTAGCATGCTCATTTGCAGAGGATGCAGAGACATAGCTCCTCATTTATTTCTTCTGGGAGTGTGAGTGGTTTTGGTGTGTGGGAAAGCAATTTGGTAACATGCGGCAAGAGATTAACAATATTTATGCCCTTGGACTCTGTCATCCCACTTCTAAGCTGTCTTTTAAAGAAATAACCAGATAAAATTAAAAATTTAGGTTTGGAGATGTTTGTTGCAGCATTATTTATAATATCAAAGAGTTGGAAACAACCTAAATGAACCAAAATAAGTAGTTTACTGGATAAATTATGGTCAACCAGCCATGGAATGTTTTGCAGTCATTAAAACCCAAATTTTGAAGGATATGTAATTATGTAGTGAAACATATTCCTGTGTAAAAAAATCAAACTATAGAACTATATATACAGTGTGATATTTCATACGCTTGCAGCTGTGATTCATAAAAATACTAACAGGGCTGGTCTCCACACACTGGGAGGATGGGTGAGAGTACCCTTCTCCACACATTTCTGTACTTTCAAGATGTTCTACAAGGAGTAGGTACTGCTCCTATGATGGCAACTCTACGTATTTAAAAAACAAAAGTAAAATGACCTTTATTTGTCCTGGCTTAGCTCCTCTCCAGGGGGTGGGCAGACCCCTGACGTGGCCCTCTCTGTCTCCACAGGGCAAGCTGGAAATGACCTTGGAAATAGTAGCAGAGAGCGAGCATGAGGAACGACCCGCCGGCCAGGGTCGGGATGAGCCCAACATGAACCCTAAGCTTGAGGAGCCAAGGTTAGTGCCCACCCCTAACGGCTGATGCCCAGCCGGTAGGGAGTATAGGCCATAGTCCAGGGAGGCACCGACTGCGTAGTCTTCTGAGTTCTCTTCCTGCCCTCCTCCCTGAGCGTGGCCCAGCCGTTTGCATCTGGGCAGGTGGCGTGGCTTTTCTCAGGCCCGGTGAGCCCCGGTGGGACAGAGTTCACCTAAGATGCAGGCCTGAGGCTTTGGCCAGCCCCAGAGTCTGTGATCCATGATGAAGTCCTAGGTCGGGAGGGGAGGAAGCCATGGGGGAAGGCATCCTGGTGACGATGGCTGGGAACCAGGGCTCAGCATCATTCCAGGAGGAGGACAGCAGGGGTGCGGTGTCACTACATTGTTGGGGGTGGGAAGGGGATGCAGACTTGAAGGGCTGAGTTCAGAGGTGGGGGCTGAGGGCCCAGAGGCTGGGTGGGTCCTGGGGGCACACTGTGGAGGGTGGAGCCTTTTGTCGTGTTGTCTCAAGTGGAGAGCAAGGTTTGGAGAAAGCAGCCTTGCAGAGGGAGCCTTGCTGACCCTTGGGATGTTGCTTCCAGGCGCCCCGACACCTCTTTCCTGTGGTTTACTTCCCCCTATAAGACGATGAAATTCATCCTGTGGAGGCGCTTCCGGTGTGCCATCATCCTCTTCATCATCCTCTTCATCCTCCTGCTGTTCCTGGGCATCTTCGTTTATGCCTTCCCGGTGAGCAGGCTCGATGGGGAAGGCACAGAGGCTGACTTAGAGAAGCTCTTGGTCTAATAGGGGAGCCCATCTCTGCCCTCACAGAGCTCCCCTGATTGGGTGGAGAGCAGTAACCTCTTCCCTGGGGAGCCCTGGTCTGATGAGGAGCCATGGCTCTTAATCTGGGAGTCCCCAGTCTGGTAAGCAGACAAAGCCTAACCCTTTGGGGGCCCTTGGTCTGATGGGGGAAGCTGAGTTCTTTCCTCTTAGGGACACAGCAAGCCCCTGTCTTCAGCAAGCCCCTAGAGTGTGTAGTCAAGGGGTTGGCAGAAGATGAAGCTCTTGGGCTGCAGAGGGCAGGAACCTTCCTGAAGGAGTGTGTGCAACTGGGTCTGGAAAGGAAGGGAAGAGGCAGATGCCAGAGCGGAGGAGATAACACTTGCTAAATCCAGAGGGCCAGGAAAGGATCCCAGTAACCCCTGAGCGCCCGGTAGAAGGTGTCCTACCTCCCACAGTGGTGTGGACACGAGGAAGGGGGCTGGCTCAGGAGCCCCTCCTTTGGCACAGTACACAGCAGGAGTCCGTTTCATGTGGTAAGAAGCCAGCTGATGCCTGGAAAAGAGCTCAGCGGGGCCACACCGGTGACAGCCACCGTGTCTCTAGCTCCAGGGAGCTTTGCTGGGGATGGAAGTTGGTTTTTGCAGTTTGCCAGGAATTCCAGCCCCATAGTGGCTCTAGTACTTCAGACCTTGAAGATAACAGTGTTCATGCCTTATTATTCATGTTCTTCACACTTCAGAGGAAACTCTTTAATGTGAATATTTTAAACCTATATAACAGTAAATCGTGTAATCCGTCCCTTGAGACCCTGATTTTCATGGCAAAAGTACAAACACCTAGAGAAGGGAAGGGACTGGTTCTGGGTTACACAGTGGCCCAGAGCTCACAGTAGTTGTCACTGTGGGTCCCAGGGCATTGTCCCCAGAGCAGGCAGGTGATGGGGAATCACTCCCAGGTTAGCTTTTTGCTTTGTGACCCCTCCAGGAGAGGATGGGGTGATCACTGGCCCACTGAGAGCTGACCATGCCTTGGCAGCAGAGTGCACCTCATAGGAGGAGAAAGAGTCAAAGCCACAGGCCGCCTCATACAGTTCCTAACACCACAAACTGTGAGAAGCAGCAGGGGGCACTGCCTAGTTTAGATATCCAGGTCCCAGACCAGGGATGGTGAACCTTTCAGAGCTTTCAGTGAAAACAGCCTGCTGTGGCATGCATGCTCTAGGCTATAGCACTATTGCTCCAGGCTACAGTAACAAAGACTGGTTTAGAACCAGGATGGCCAGTGGGTCTGGCTGTAAGTCAGGCCCCCTAAGCTGGCTGTGGTCACCTGGGGCACCTTAATGTTTGCAGGGCTCAGCAAAGAAAGTTATGGTCAATTGGCAAAACTTGACTATGGTGCAAGGGGGGACCCATGTTGTGGAGACCTGAAATTTCTACAATTTCAGGGACTTTTTAAAACAAAGGAAGCACTGGGCATGGTGGCGCGTGCCTGTAATCCCAGCACTTGGAAGGCTGAGGCAGGAGGATTGTGTGAGTTCAAGGCCAGCCTGAACTGCATAGTGAGACCCTGTCTCAAAAAAGATAAATAAATAAAAACAAAAGAAAGAAAAAATAAAAACAAAAGCAAAGGAAGATGAAATTATAAATACAAGATCAGAAATAGATCCATGGAGAAGGGTCTGTGCAAGTGCAATAGCCCAAGGCAAGAGTTGCCACCAGAAATGACGTTGGCTCTGGGGAGGCCCTGGTGCTTGCTTCCAGGCCAGCCCGGATGTTGAGTCAGGGCAGTGCTCCCCTTGTGGCCTGTCGCAGCTCACTTCCTGTCATCTGGGTGTGCATGGCTGCTCTCCCAATAGCAGTGGAGACTTTATTATGAAGGGTTACTGTCCAGGTGAGGGTGTGTTGGGGGATGAGGGAGGAGGTGATGAGGCTCATGCCGCCAGGAGCTCTAGGTCTCCTAGGAGAAACTGAGACCAGAGAATCAGGACAGCCACTATGTACAATGAAATGTTCCACTGGGGGACTCAGCTTGGGGGGTTGGAGAAGGATGGCAGGTGCAGAGCCTCACACCTACAAGTAGTCTGGGGACAGAAGCTTCAGCCTTACCAGCTTTCTAGAATGTAGAGTCCTGGGCCGGCCCCTGGTCAGCTGAAGGAGAATCTGCCCTCAACATATGAGGTTGGAGAAATGGTGTCATATATGATAGAGCTCTGCAGTTGAACTCAGGAATACGACCTTTACCCTTGACTTTGTGCGACCTTGCTTGGCAAGGCCCTCCTTACCTGTGTGTAGGGAAGCTGGACAGAGTCAACTCCCATCTTCTGTGACCATGGCAGCTCCTGCACCTTCCCTCGGGAGCTGCATGTCAAGCCAAGCTGCCTCCTGAAGAACCCAGGGGAAGGCAGGGGCAAATCCTGAGTGGCATCACCACTGTCCTCCCTTTCTAAGTCTGTCCCCAAGCCCCTAGCCAGCCAGGCTTGTCGTGTGGGGGCTGTGGATGGCAGACCTATGCCTCAGGGAGCTGGGGAAGGAGACTTTGCTGCCTGACTGGAAGAGGGAAGATTTCTAGTCCCTTCTAGCCCGTGGCCCGTCCTTGTCCTCCGGGGGCAGGCTTAGCCCCGGTGGACAGGAGCTGAGCGGCGCTCGAGGGGGTCCGGGTCAGAGCCTTCAGCTGAATTCTGGGTTCCCGCCAGCAACATTACTCTGCTTGGAGTTCTGGAAACTGTCCTCTTCAAATGCTGACCTCGTCTTGTTTCTCAGCATGGGCACGTGGGGGCAGATCCTAGTGAGGCTGCTAGGACTCCAAGAGCCAGAGTAGGGCTAAGGCTGCAAACCTTTAGTTTGCTGCCAGTGCTACAGCTGGGGAATCTTGGTTCCCCCCACCGAGTCCCTTAGTCACATGGCCAGACCCACACCTGTGAGGGCCAGACTGATGCTCCTCACCTGGCTTTCAGGGTATGGGTAGGGGTAGGGAGCCTAGTCTAGTTTCCTAAGCCAGGCCCAGTGGGGAGAGTGCCTGAGGTGGGGCTGCCTGCCTCTAGTTGGCCCAATCCCCCACCCTCTTGGAAATTCCCCTGGGAGGGGGCAAGAGGGGCAGCCTGTCTGATTCCACTGGGCTCCCTCACCGAGAGCCAGCTGGGAGCAGGGCCAGCGTGGGGAGGCAGGAGGTGATTTGGCGGAGAAGGAGGGCCGGCTTTGTTTCCAGGGTTGGCTTTCCCGGGCCGGCGCTGGGGAACATACTGTCCCAATTAAGAGCCCTGTGTTGTATTGTGTATGTTTTCATGGTTTTTGGAGGGAGGAGTGGGGAGGGGAGGTTCCTGTCAGTTCTGCAGCAGGCAGGACTTAATCAGCAGTGATCCATCTTTGGTGCTGGCCTGTGTTACAGGGCATCCCCCTCCATCCCCCAGCGCAATTCTCTTTTTCTGGATGGGTGACCAATGGTGACCATGTGGGGGTATGTGTAGGGGGGAATCATGGCTGTGCCTTTAGCTCCCGGAAGAGCCCAGGGCAGGACTCCCCTGTCTAGATCCCAAGAGATCAGTGTTTCTTGGCAGTTGGTTGGAACATGGAGGTGGGCCTTGGGTTATGGAAGAGGGCAGGGCAATTCGGGCAACAGTGGCTCTGCACAGGAAGGTGTGAGCAGTCTCAGGAGAGTATGGGTTTGCTTGACTGGTGGAAACACCAGGCAGGGTGGAGTGTTGATCCTAACAAGGGATGGTAGGTGGTGGGGACAAGTGTAGGCCCCTGCCTGCCACTTATTCCACCAAACTGGGCCAGCCACTCCGGCTATTCCTGCCCCGAGGGGGTTACTTATGTCCCTGCTTCCTCCCTCTTCCAGAATTATGCTGCCATGAAGCTGGTGAAGCCCTTCAGCTGAGGACCCTCCTGCACTGGAGAAGGGGGCGCAGGCTGCCCTCCTGGCCCAGAACTGGCTTGCCTCCTCCACCCAGCCTAGCAGAGCTCCTCTAGCCCTCCGGGGCCAGACTGTGCTGCTGGGTGGGCAGACAGATGGACTGGCACCTGCTGCAAGAGTTGCTAGCATTGTGGCCTGGGATCACCCCACTCTCACCATCTCTTTCTCTCCTACCTCCTTTTGAATCAGCTCATATGTATTTCAGTATAAAACAGGTTGAACCACCAAGCGACGTCAGCACGTGTCTTCACTGTCTCTGAGTCGGGAGATGTGTCGGGGGCATCCGGGGGCTGGCTGGGTGTGCACCATTTCTGGCACAACCTTCTGGAGGCAGGAACAGCTAGGATGCAGTGGGTGGAGGGCCCATTGGAATTGTTTGTTTATTTTTTTACAGATCTGACTGGGGTGGGATGGGCTTTAAGGATTGGTGTCTGGCCTGCCTGGTGCCCAACTAATTTTGCCTCCTCTCCTTTCCAGGATTTCCCTCTTTGCAGGCTGCCCTTTGTTCAGGTGGGCAGTACCCGCACATTCCAGTTTCCTTAATCATACTGGGGAAGAGGGTCCACTGTGTAAAAATGGAGCACCAAAAAGTCCAGGCGTGGAGAGCAGCTGGACCTCTAGCTTTGACCTTGTCCCTGGTGGTCTTGGGATTCCCGTCCTCTGCTTCCTTACTTTGCCTCCAGACACCTTTTTCTTGTAGTCTAAAGCTTGGTCTTAGCCTTTCGTTTGCCATTTGTGCAGGCTTACTCTGTAAGAGCAGCAGGAACAGCCTTAGAGAAAACGCAAAGAGCTGGAAAACATCACTTCCAAAATTTCCAGAAGGGAGGCCTCTGCCCCTCTCCCCTGAGGGGGGCAACCGTGGCTGCCTCTGTTCCTGTCCCCTGGGAGGCTTCTATGTCCCATTGTGAGCCTGCTTTCCTGGCCTGGGCCCCGAACTCCCGAGGATCCTTTCAGCCCCTCCTTGGATCTTCACTGTACTTTTCAACCCAGGCTGAGGTCCCACCTGATTTGGTAGGATGAAGGTGGCTGGGACAGAGTTGCTGTCCAGAACCTGCCAGGGAGGGAGCTACACTTCCTAAAGGGACAATTATTACTGCAAGAGAGCTTCAGGATGGAGACAGCTATAAGCTTCAAGAACCTGAGTGGCCAGTGTTAAGTCCCTGACACCTGCACCCTGGAACCAGGGACCATGCCTCGCACAGAACACAGGATAGAGAGCAGGGTCCAAAGCTGTAGGGAAGATTTGTATAGTGATGAGCATTCAGCTGGCCTGCCTGTGCATAGCATGAGGAGGGCACAGCCTTCAGAGGACGCTGAAGGAGAGGAGGTAAGAACCAAGCTACAGCATCTGGAGGGGCTGAGGGTGGTTTTTAGGGTGGGAAGAAAGAATATCTAAAGTAGGAGGAAGCCACTGGACAGGGAAAGACTTACAAACACATGAGAGAATGTGTGAGCATGAATGGAGCCAGTTTCTGGAAAAGGAGAGGTGTTAGCTTTGGAAAGAAGGTCCATTTTTTCTTCCAGGCATAGGAAGGCAAGAGAAAATCCGTGCATAGCATGCAACTGTCAGCTGGGTTAAAAGTGTTTGCCGGGCCACTGTGCATATTTTGTGATTTCTTTCTCTTGCTACTCTGGGTTGCAGGTAATAGAAAATCCTACTCAAACCAGCAAAGGGAATTTTAAAAATGTCATTGAAATGAAATATCTGGAAAGATGGCTTCAGGCGAGGGCTGATCCAGCTTCACAACTAGCTCCTCGTAAGTTTGTATTTTCTCTGTTCTCCCCTCCTCAGAGTTGGCTTCAGTTTAAAACTGGCTTGATTCCTCAAGCTGGATTTGAAGCCACTCCCTGGGGTTGTGTAGGCCAATAAGAAAAACTCAAAGGGGGTTAGGGAATGGTTGGCAAGGGGACCCATGTCCTAAAAACGTGCAGTATTGAGACATTCCACGTGGCAGGCCTAGAGCAGCTTTGGCAGATGCAGCAGGATGACCCGTGACTCTTGGCCTTCCCCAGCAGCCATCGAGGCTGGAAAATTGCCTTCTTATGAGAGGGGTATCAGAGAAGGGGCAGGCACGACCCTGATGGGTTGTGTGTGGGGGAGGGGTAGGAGACTCTCTCAAGAAGGGATCACCTGAGCAGAGTTCTGCACTGTCTCTGGCTAAGAACAGTTCCTAGGGGGCAGAGATGCTGCTGAGTGGCAGGGCCACTGAAAACACAGCTGGTTTAAGCGCATAGTTGTGGAAGGAAGCCACCGCAGGGAGGAGAGAGAAGAAGGGCTCGTGGGGCAAGGTCCAGGGGTCTTGGGTGTACAGCTGAGGAGTCTGAACTTCACTCTGGAGGTGATGAAGAAGTGCAGAAGGACTCAAAGATAAACTTTGATCAGAACCGCGTTTTTACAGTAATCTCTAGCTTAGTCCTCCTCCCGGGAGACAGCAGCCTTCTGGAGGCCTGGGGTGTGTAAACCTCATGGCAGGTACCTTGGGTGGAGCGAGCAGCCTGAGCTCTCCCCAGGTCCCAGAGTGGTCTGTGGTCACAAATGGTGGAGGACAATTGCTCAGGACACTGTGTTGTTGGTTGCAGAGAACCACCCAGAGGTCTGGTTCGGATCTCTGACCCAGTCTAAGAGTGATTCACATGCTTGTACAAGTATATATAGAGAGAAACAGAGACAGAGACAGAGAGAGAGCGATAGAGAGGGGCTGTCTATGTATGTAGCAGGGTGCTGGGCTTTGGAGACCAGTGCTGAGTGAGACGAACATGGTCTTCGCCGACCCATGGGTCTCAGTGAGTCAGAGACGCAGACAAGCAGACAGGTCACTGTAATACACTAAAGGAAGAACAGGAGTTATAGGGTCAAGAGCAAGGTGGGGGTGAAGACAATAGGGGGAACAGAGTGTGCAAAATAGGCCATGACCAGGAAATGGGTTCAAATGTCCACAGAAATACTCACACGGGCACAGGATAGTGGTCCTCAGCCAGAGGCAGTTTTATTCTCCAGGATATATTTGGCATTGTCTGGGCATTCTGGGTTGTCTCAGCTGGTGGTTGTGTGTGGCGGGGTGGAGGCAAGGGTGCTGTTGGCATCAGTAGCTGCTAATCATCCTATAAAATCCAGCACAGCTCCCCCGCCCAAAGGAATTAATTATCCGCTCCAAAATGTCCATAGTGCTGCCATGGAGATCCCTTGACATGGAGGCTAGGGTTCTAGAAATACTGAACAGCTGGACTTGGTAGGACCTGAGGACTGACTGGTTTGGGGCACAGAGGTGGTGGGTTGGGGGGTACTACCAAGTTCCAAATGATTCCCAGCTGTCTGGCTATATGAGTGAACAGCTGGCAGTGCCATTCATCAAGGCAATTTCAGACAAGGATATTCCAATACACTTAGGGCACAGATGAAATGCCCTCCTGCCTCCATGTCCTCTTCCTTCCTCTGCAAAGTTCTGGAGAGCATCGTCTATATGAGTTGTTTCCACATCTCATCTCAGTCACTCCTCCACCTGCTGTGATCAAACCAGTCACAGTAACGCCATCGCCTTTGCGAGGGACTCCCTTAGGAGGAGGCGTGCCACTCAGTTATGTCGGTGAGGACACAAAGAGATGCATCTGTATATTCTTCCTCTTAATCTTGTGGGAAAATCAAATGGGTTGGAGCTGTGGCTGCCATCCTTGATCAGGAGGGGACAAGCCTGAGGAAGAAGGTAACGCAGAGAATGGCAGAGCAGATAGGAAGGACCTGATTCTTGGCGAAGCTATGGAGAAAGAAGTAAGCCAGGAAGTGCCCTACCTCTAGACCAGACCTCTTGTGATGTAGGGTCATAACTTCTCCATTGTTTAACTCACCTTTGGTTGGGTCGTGTGTCACCCACAGCTCAAAGCATCCTTGGTGATTTCACTCTGCTCCCCGCAACCTGCTTTTGCTGCCGTCTCCAGTAACCAACCTGCTAGGTAGAGGCACCACATATCGGACACTGTATCCTTATTATTTATTATAATAATTTCCCCACAGATGGCAGCAAAGTATGTTGTTCTAATAAAAATCAGTGCCTTACAATAGTTTTCTGGTGGAAGTAAATGACCTTGAGGAAGGGACACCTTTTCTAATTCACCTCAGGGCACCATCCACCCCCTCACGACTCTCAGCAGCAGCCCGAGCAGGACATTTTCTTTGTCTTTTTTGAGATGGGTCTCGCTATGCAGTTCAGGCTGGCCTTGAGCTCACTTTGTAGCCTAGGCTGGCCTCGAACTCGCAACGATCCTCCTGCCTCAGCCTCCCGAGTGCTGGGATTACAGGCGTGCACCACCATGCCTGGGCCATTTTCTGCTTCTTGATAAAGTTTGTCCTCTGCTTCCATGGGTGCCCAGGTGTTGGGTTTTCCTCCTGTCTGCAGTCTGGCCTTCTCTCTGTCATTTGCTGTGAGTCCAGAGTCTCACACTGTGGACCTTCTAGGCAACACACTTGCTTGTCTGCCTTCATTTGCCCCCCGGGTGGAATGACCCCAGGACCCCAGCCTAATCCAGCTTTGCCCTAGAGCTGCCCATCCCAACCCCCAGGGACACTCACAGGCACAGCTCAAAGGCCTCTCTCTGTCACAATCTGCATCCTCCACCCCATAAAGTTTCCTGTTTTCTTTCTGCCTCCCTCTTCCCGGGCACTGGGGCTGCACATGGGGGAAGCAACTGCAGTCCTGCCTCCTCTTCTGCCCCACTCCCAGAGCACTGCCCAGTGGCCCATGCCGCTTCTCCAGTCTCTTGCTGTTGTTCTCCAGCCCTACAATGAGGGTCAGGTCCTCAGGCTCCCCTCCCTGAAGCCAAGCTGCTGCTGCAGTCTTCTTCCCCATTTCTTGACCTCTCACCTCTATGTGGTAAGATCTGACCCCAGCGGGCTTGCCCTTGGCCCCAGGAAGGAGGCCAGCACACTGGTGCAGGCCCCAGACCGGCCCTGTCCCTGTGTACCTACCTCTCCTGCTGCCTCTGACCTTCTGCTCTCCCTGTGCCCACGTTTCCTCAGTCTGCCCTGTGCTCTGGCCCTGTTCACTGCTGCCACTGCTGCCTCTCCTGTTACAGGGCTCTTAGCGCCACTCAGAGACTTTACCATCCAGCCTCTGCCTGCAGGGCTGAAATCACATCTCAGGCCTTAATGAGATGTCTGCTTCCTCCACCGAAGGGACTTTACTAAGTGTTTCATTGCAAGTTCTCTTTAACTGGACAGGCCCTCAGAACTGTTTCAAA